GACAAGTTTAATATTCTTAACTAGATTAACTAATTTTAAAAAAAAATAGATAAAAATTTTATAATTAAAAATAAAAATACTATTAATCTTTGATATATATATATATATATATATATATATATATATGTATGAACAAACATCTATCATAGCGCTAACATGTCATAATATCTTATCCAATAATATTAAAAGTGTTTTTTTTTTCTTCTCATTTTACCACTTAAGTCAAAATAATAACAGAAGGCTTTTATGTCAAGTTAATGAATTATACAACATGTCTTTTATTTTTTTTTTACTAATAAATATCTTATCTTTACCTGAAGGTTATTAAAAGCCAAATTTATTTTAATCATTAATATTGAAACCAATTATATTCATAATTTATTTATATAACATTACAGTATAATACATAAGAGTTGACTTAGTGACTCGGCTTGAGTAATTTTTATCCATTATATATGCAAAGATTTTTACACTAAAGATTGAAAAAAAAAAAACTACTTTCTCTTTTCTATTTTAATTGGATTTTTTAACATTTTTATATATTTTAATTTAATTGTGATTTTATAATATTAATGTAACATTAAATATGTTTCTCTTATTATATCCTTAATCATTATTAATACATTCTCTATTTATTGGTGAGAATTCAAAAGGTTTGACAATATATTGAAATGTTATATAATTTATTTTATGAAATCAAATATATTAATTGTATTTTTTAAGTTTAATGTCAAGACTTTAAACATGAAATAAAATGAAACAGAAAAAATATGATTTCAAAATTATCTATTATAAAAGTTAACAAATTTATATAGTTTATAGTAATTTATAATTGGATTTTAACAGAGTAAAATATATTTACTTTATCAATACATTTTAATTGAATTCATGCATGCATAAATACATATATACATACATACACAGACATTGAAACGCAGTGAGTAGATTTCAGAGTTTAGTTGGCTCTAGAGAGAAGAGTATATAAGGATTTCTTTGAGAAAGGAATTTTATAAGTTCATTCTCAAAGAAACTTAGAGAGAAGTTTTAGAGAGAAAGACTCTAGGTCTGTGAGCTTCTTTCTCTCCCAAATTTATCTATATGATTTTTCTTCTCCTCTAGATCACTAATCTCTTCTGTCTTCTCTTGGAATTCAGGCTATGAAGCTTGCTTTTGGAGGATTGAAGTCAACGGGTCGAGCTTAGGAGGAATTTCTTTGCTTCTTCTCGGTTCTTGGCTATTCTGAGCCATTCTTCAGGTGATGGAAGTTAGAATGTATGTTATTTGGTTGCATGTAAGTTTAGGAACTCAATTGATGTATGAATTTGGAGAATCCATGGCTGGATTGGAGGAAATTCTCATTTTTGGGGTTTAGGAAAAATGGGGTTGTTGGTGATTTTGATGCATCGGGTGGGTGCATATTGAATCTGAGGTTGTTTTTGAGTTGTATGGAGTCTATGCATTGTGTTTCTTGGTTTACATGTGGCTGGATTTGCTATTTTTCAAGTTTTGGACGAAATTTTTGAAGTTTTGGGCCTGCTATATGAATTTACGTCGGGCGCATATTATTGGTGTTGGGCGTGTATTCATCAGAAGCAATTTCTGGATGAATTCACGCTGGGTGTGAGAAGAGCCACGCCGGGCACAAAAAAAAAAGCACCGAGTGCAAGTGGCGGATTCAGAAACTTTAGATAGTGGGAGCAATACTTTATTCATATATTTGTAGTATTCAAAATTTTACATATAACTTTTAAAAGCATAAATATATATTATAATTATTTTTTACAAATTTTTATATCTATGATTATAATTATGGATGAAAATAAACTAGGTCATATTAGGTTATATTATAATTTAGTAGGTTTGGACCTAACCTTTAAAAACACATGTTCTAAACATGATTTACTTATTTATCGGTCATAAATATTTTTTAAAATGTTAGTTAGAACTACGATTTTAAAGACTTGCTTTATAATAATTTAATATTAATAAAAATATAAAAATAAATATGTTAAATTGTATAAAAATCAAGTTTAATTTATTTATAATATAAACATGTTTTTAATATCTAATATAAATTTTGAGATAATAATTTATTTTAAAACATTTTATAATAAAAATTCTAAATAAAACATAAATCTTCCAATCTTTC